AAATTTTCTCGTTAATCCGATCCGTACACTTGGCATAGTAGTAGTCTGTCAAAATGATTTTCTGAGAAATACTGAAAGTTTCAAAGACATCTTCGTACTAGAAATATTCTAAAATGTGAATAATACAACCCTGGGGGTACAAAATGACCCTAGGGCGTACGGATAGGGTTAACCGCTACACCACACACCCTGATAATTGATGGCCTGAGAACCAAACGACAGGACTGAAAGCAAAGACGTTATTTCATCCCACCCATACCATTACTTACATAGGAGGTTGCTGTGGTAAACTGTGCACTCGAGTCTTTGTCGTTGATGCCAATTTCTTGAGCTGCAGCGTTTGAGGCATCGTCGAAAGTAGAAGCTGTGGGATGGCAAAACCGTTAAAAACTGTAAATTGTTTCGTTATACAAAGAAAGCAACGCAATACAACAAGATAAATACATTCGTATTCTTTATCATGATAATATCATCATTCTGTTCTCTTTCGTCCATTAAAAACCAAACTCATATATTCTGTTTTCTGGTACACACACACACACACACACACACACATACACACACATACACACACACAACATCTACAAAATATCACGGTACAACAAAGTACATGTTCATTCAGTAATCATAATGGTCACAGTCAGTCAGATTTGTTAGTCGTAGTTACAAGTCTTGGGATCTGAGCGCATGACTTTCTGTTTTTATGGTTCCAAATGTAAAAAAAAATAAAATGTTTTCGGTGTTATCGTTGATAGCATCCATCCAGTGTTGGTGTTAGTAACGCAGTATTTGCAACAAGTTATTGTGACGGAGTGCGGTAAATTCGGAGAAATGTGACAGCGATCCGTAATAAATTTAGCAGTTGTGTTAAAAAAAAAACCCGGAAAAAATGGGCGCAAATCTGTGATTGTTGGCGAGAATAAACGCAATGAAGTTTAGACAACCAGAGGACCTTTCGGTTCTCACCAACCTGTAAAATAGAATAAAGATTTCATCGATGTTATTAATCAGGACATTATAATAATTATTAAGATTGCTTTGAGACTGAAAGATATTATTATCAATTGCAAAGGAACTACACATGAAAAATCTATCTATCTATCTATCTATCTATCTATCTATCTATCTATCTATCTATCTATCTATCTATCTATCTATCTATCTCTCTCTCTCTCTCTCTCTCT